TTTAGAGGTCTTTGAATAGGATGCAGATATTTCAAAATACTTTTTAGGTCTGAATATAATTTTATTTTTAATTGACTTTTTCTTTTCTTCCCTTGTTAAACTCTCTGTTTTATTATTACCATACCCTTCCAATCTCTCCCATTCGGATTTGGATCAAAATGTTTTGAGGTCATGTTTGTTTTGAAAGATTTATTCTTGGAAATGTGTTAAATTTATAGAATGTTTCAAAAATATTCTTATGAATATTAATATAATTTATACCTTCATTTAATATAATTGATTTATTTGAATTATGTTTAATATTTTGTTTTTTTATATGTTATTTTGTACAGCAAATTAATTTATATTAGTTTAATATAAATTTTATTTTCAACTTTAATATTTTTAAATTTTATTTTCAACTTTAATATTTTTTCCGTTATCTTGAGTGAAATTTATTTATCTTATCATCATGTGATATTTTTTTTATTAGAGAAAGTATCATAGGTATGATTGTAAAAAAAAATGTTACTTTTAAATTATATATTTATTATCATACAAATTATTGATAATATAATTCCTTCAAAATATTAAATATAAATAAAGATATTACATAACTCAATTGCAATTGCATTTTATTTTATAGCTAACTTTAAAAATATACTTAATTGCATAAAGTTATTTATTAAACTATGAATACATTAATTTGTTTAAATTATAAATTTAAAATAAAAAATAAAAAATTTATTTATGAAAAAATAAAAAATTTTGATGAAAGAAAATATATAAAGAAAAATGAAGGGTAAAAATGTAAAAATTGGATGACCTCAACTCGAGAATCTTGGAAAATCATAAACGTGAAAATTCAGATGTCCGTTCAGTGTGAATTTTGGATTCCCACGCAACAAACAGTCCCTTAGTTGACGAGACATGATATGATATTTAATGAGTTGGTTGACGATCAATTAGGTTGCTAAGAGTATGCTTTCTAATTTCTTCTCGTCTCTTTGATAACGTGTAATGTTCACCAATAGAAAAGTATAATTTTGATATTAAAATGTAGAATAACTTCTAAAACAATATTTTTATTACAATTTTTTAAAAACAATATGAATTAAATTAAAAAAAAAAAAAGAAACTGAAAACATAACTTCTAACTGCCCCTCTATATTTGAGTTTGAAATAAATAAAAAGGACAAGGCAAGTCTTGGACCATTAAGGTAAGGAAATTTTAATAATTTCCAAGTGCTCAATTTTCTCTTTTTATATAAATTTTTGCACAAAAAATTGTTTAAAACAAACAAAAGTGTTTAATTCAATTCAGTTCACAGATAACTACTTTGGGAAATCTCTCTCTTGTAAAAAGCTTGGTGAGACAAATAATACGAACGAAAACTACCAAATATCAAAATAAAATTTAAATCTTATAATTATATATTCGGACATCAAATTTAGAGAAAATATTCCAGATACATCATGAGCAGAACACAATGCTCTCAGCAAAACTGTGACATTAAAAATGAACCTCTCCTTCACAATCACCTGTGATATACAGCTTACCTCCAACTGGGAAAAAAATATACACCAACTCAGATCAAAAAATTGTTACGATTTTCCACTAAAATATATCCTCAGGTTTTCTTTTCTTTCTATTTGCCCTTTTTCTTGCCACCTTTTTTCTGACCCTTCCTAATCTTTGATCCTTTACTCGCAAGAATACTAGACGCGCTCTTGCCTTCAAGTTTCTTCGTCATATTCACCACACTAACCATCCCTTTTCTCGCAGCTGCCCGATGCTCCGGTCTACGGCTCATCATCTTCCGGTCGAGAGGCCAGTATGCATAAGGTTCGAGTTTGTCCTTCCTCTTAACGTCTCCGCCAGCTTTCTTGCTAGCATACTCGGTACCTGTGTAAGCCCACCCGGAGTCCGATGTTCTCCTGCGCTTTTGATTCTTCTTTGATGAACCATGAGACAAGTGGCTTCCAACTTCACTCCTTTCATCTAAATCGGGGTTGGAAGGTTTTCTCTTGTTCATTGTCTCGTCGTCATCAGTGATTATTAAGCGCCCTTTTTCGTCTATCTTCATCTCGCCATCTGAAACCATCTTCCGCTTGAGATGCACTGATGATTGAAGAGCGTGTCTTGTTCTTTGTTGATCAAGCAAGTCAAGAGGCTCATCTTCCAATTGGTCGGGCAAGCGTTCGAGTAAGTTCATCTTCGACCGACTCTTGGGGCTGAAGCGATTTAACAAACCAAGATTGAAATCATCATCTAGGCAAATGTGACACGCATACTCTAATTACACTTTGAATGGGAATGAAAACTGACCGTGATTTAGACACCTTTGATCTTAGCTGTGAAGAAGCAGCCTTTGATGGACGACTCATTCTAGCAGCCACATGTTCTGAATCACTTCCCCCCAAGTACTCCCCACCACTATCTTCGGTCTCGTCATCACTGAACTCCGAGAAAATTCTTGTATGATTCCATTTACTCATCCTGAAAGTAAACCAGTAGTTACAAGAAAATAATTTGTAGAATGTGAAAATTTTACACTACTTCAAAATAGTCTGAGCATTTTGAAATCTAGATGCAGAAATTCCAACAACTGTACCACTAGTGAATAACAATAACAGCAGAGATTTTATTTTCTTCTTTTTTTCGTGTGTACGGTGTGGAGGTGAAAATAAAGTTTCTGGCATCAAATGTACTTTTTCTTAGTGTTGAAGGTTGGAGGAACTGAACTAGACTAGACCTTCAACAACCGTTCTTATTTTGACTACATAAAAACAGCAAGGATGTGTGAGAACTATATGTTTATCAACAAGCACATGCACAAAATAGTTGCACCAATTGATGTACATGACCGTTAAATGGAACAGTAGGAGAGACCTGGATGTTGTTGCTTTTGACACAAGAGATCTAGCCCCCTCGGATTTAAGCTTCTTTTCTTTCCGTTCCCTGATCTGCGTGCCAAACCTCATGTTAGTAAGAATAAGCACATGCATAACCTTTTTTTCCGCTTCTGTTTCTACACAAGCTTTTTTTAATTCAATCTAGCACTAAGTTTACAACTAACCTTCCTTATGTTGGTAAGAAGTTTCATGTGTTCTTCAGGCATGACGACCTTAACCGCATCCAGGCCACATTTTCTGACAAGCATATCAAGCAACTGCTTAACCTGGAGAATGAACAAATGAAAATGTAAATTTGGACTGTTATAAAGCAATAGAATGATTCCAGAATTAACTTCTTGTAAAAATACTGACTTTAGCTTTAAAGTGATTTTTGGGGCCATCTTGCCACTTCAGCAAACCTTCCACCAAATTGGTTAAGTGCATGTGCAACACTTCAGCTTTCGATTTGGCCACCAAAACCTTTAAAAATCCTAAATTGGCCTGCAGTCAACAAGAGCATGAATAGAAATAGATAGAAGTTCAAAATAGATATAAAAAGGGGAGGAAGGGCGAGTGAGCTCACTTTGATTATTTCTCTGTTCTTTCTTTGGAGAAGCAAAAAAGTAGATGGCAGCAAATTGCAAGCTGCTGAAACAAGATCAGAGAACTCATAAGCCAAGCGAGCTAAGCCTTTCATTGCAGCACTGATCATATGAGGAGTTTCACCACCAAGACCTCCAGCTACCTGAGATCATAAAGATGATTAATTCTTGCCAGCCATCATATCTATAGAGTCAACTGAGCTAGATGGAAGGGTGGGGGTAGCAGTTTTTTTTTTCAGATGAGAGGTAACTAAAAACTCAAATGACTTGGAACTAATTTAAAGTACCATATTGAAAAGCTGATACAAATATTCCATCTTTCCACCTTTGTCTTCGTCCATACACGCATGACCAATCTGAACAAGAATATCATAAGCTCTGTTTCTCGTTTTTTTGTTAGCCTGAAAGGAAGACACATGGGTCAATTTAAACTTATAAGGATTTAAGTGACTATCCTTTTATCTCTCATTCTTTTGAATGGAAAAGCCATAAGAATAAGTAAGAAATTTGTAAAATCACAATTATATACAGGTTAAAAATAACACAAGCAATATATTGCAGAAATGTCACTGTCTGCAATTATATAGAAAACATACTATTAACTAGAGAAATTCTAAAATCTTAGTCTTAATAAAAAAAAATACTGCCCCATTATTACATTAAACTGCAACAAGTCCTAGAGAAAAAGCAGACTGAGAAGGAAACATTACAGCAGAAAAAGATAGAATACCTCTTTGAGTGCAAGTATTATTTCAGTCAAAAATGAACCAATGATGTCATGCCGCTTGGATCCTGAATCCTCCTGAGATAATCAAAAGTGCCACGATTGAAATCACAATTGATTGGGAAATATTTTCACAGGCTAGCATATGCGTAGTGCATTCTTCTTCAACAAGAATGGAATATCATCAATATTTACCTTTGAAACTTGGACAATTAGAAAGTATAGGCAATCGAGTCTGTGACGTTTGGCAGAAAAATGGCATAAAGGCAATACTTCAATCATAAGTGAAAGCAATTCTTCGAACTTTGAGGAAAGGAAATCATCAGAGTTCTGATCATACACAAATGAAAACATAGAAATTCATCAATTACCATTCTTAAAATTTACAGGACAAGAAAAAACTGCAAAAATATACAATTAGAGCATATACATAGAATGTTACATGAGACACCATATTCAATGACCAAAACCTCGTGTCCAGGTAAGTTAACTAATACTACTAACCAAACAAGCCCAAAATAAAATACTAAGCTTCTCAGGTCAATCAAGTACAAGCATCATGAATATAATTCTTTATTTGAACAACTAAAATTGTTGCAGGTTTTGTGTAGACAAGAAATACCCTCAGAATAGATGAGAGAACTTTATATGCCTTCTTCTGTATCAAACCTTCACAGTCCTGAAATTCAGAAATCCACAACTAGCTAAGAGAATTTTAAAATATAGAATAATGCTACAAAGTTTCTACCAGAAAAAAAATAAAATAAAATAAACAATTGAATGATACCTGTTCCTTTAATGCAGATTTTACTGCAACGAATAAAACATCAATCTCTTTAGGATTCAGTCCAGGCAAAAAAGATACTGCCAAGTCAAACATTTGGGCTCTGCAGTCAGGGTGAAGGATTTGTTAGGCAGTCAAGGATCACAAACCTCCAATATCTTGGCCTACAAAATTAATAACTGAAGTCTACACTAACGGGAACCACAACCTATAACACCCCCCAATTTTCTTCTCCCAAAAAGCAACACTCATACAAACAAAAAAATATGAGGAGCCAATGCAAACATTGAAGTAGACCTCATAAAAGATGGAGAACTAGCATTCGTGGGATCATCAATCTGCATGGAATTGGAAACTTTTAGTTCTACTTTTCTAGCTTCCTGCGTCAGCTTCAAAAGCTTCTGCATTGTGCTCTGGAAGAACCTTGACACTACGTTTTTATCTGATATTGAAGAAATTTCTCCAATTGTGGACTGCACACAGTTCAAATAAAAGTGTTATTGAAACAAATAAGGGAAAATAAAATATCTAAGCCATTATGAACCATTAGAACTCCAAGACAGAAGATAATAGAAAGTCACTAGAAGACTGTTAGGCCTCCTATTACTAATACCTATATCAGAAGGGGTAAAAAGGGGAATTGAAGGGGGCCCTAACGGCCAAGAGAGAGAAAGTGGGGCCCAGAGGGGTTGTGTAAGAGAGGTATAGGGTGGCTGAGTTAGTTAGAGGAGGGTATCTTTTTGTATTCAGTGCCTTGTGCTAGGAAGGATAGGATACGAGAGTTTCCCCACCCTCTCGAATAGGTGGGTCGTTTCTGTAATGCCCTTGCACTGTGTTTTTTTGGATTTTGGAATAGAACTTCTGTGAGGAGATACCTCACAAAGATGTGAAAGACATGGATGCTGTGCAAATAAATTCAAGCCAATATGCAGCAACTACCTATCTATAATATGAAGCAACAGCTGAAGAAAACCTAACATCATCCAAACAACCCATAGAAAAAAAAATCCCAAACAATAGAAGCAAATACCTGCAAGCAGCCACCATCTTTTGTGGATTTGAGAAAGATGCCTGACAAAGCTGACAAAAACTCACGAGAAGAGGACTTAAGTACAGTCAGGTTATTTTTTGCCACCTGTGGGGTATAATGAGACATAGCAAGCTGTCTGGCCATACCCCCTTCAAGATCAGACTCATCATTCTTTCCTTCCAGCACTCTCTTATTCTGTTGGATAAGAATCTGCAGACTTGAACATATTATGCCTCGAAAATCAGGTTCCTCATTAAGAGCAACGCACAAAGCTTTTTCAAGATCCTTAAAGCTTTCAGCAGTATCCAAGGGATAGTTGCAAAATGACGGCAGCAAGGACCAAAAGGAGTAAACAAGTGAGTCCATACTCCTCAATGAAACAATCATGCCCTGTTGCTCAAGCTGCAGAAAAAGAAAAATGTGAGACTGCATCTCACAAAAAGTAAAAGGCAAATTCCTTGTACAAGGAAATTACATACCTTTTGTGACTTACGCTTGATTTCTCCTACCATACCCAAAATTTTCTTCGTGAAGTAGCTCAAATGAGCACCAACAGTATATTGCTTCAATATTGGAAAGAGCCAAACATTAATCTCTGATAAGTTTTCCGCATCCAAATTAAAAGGTATAAGATCCAAGAAACTTTGAGGTCCCATTGCACCAAGAGCTGATCCAAGGCATGCATGCAGCTGAGTCATGGAAAATACAAAGTTAAGAGTAATGCAGAGGAAATGCACAAAAGAAATCCATCCCCAAATCCAATTGGTGCTATACACTTCACTACTTGAACACCAAGAGGATACATGCACAACATAACCCTGATCCCATCTAAGCTTCAACAACAATCACTGAAAAGATCCTGTTGAAACAGATGAAGAATCCCAGGCATCACATTATAGAATAAACAGTGCCGAGTTTTCAACTATATGATCCAGCTGGAGCATTAATTTTTAAGCTCCCTTGGTTCTGGTTCCTTCTGTAATACTCATCTTTTCAATTAAAAGCTTCTATTTCCAATCAATCCTTCAAAAAATAAAAAGGCAGGAGAAAGAGGAAAGAAAATAATAACAAGTGACACAGCAAACAATAACAAAAAGGAACTGACGAAGGTAGGAGTTCCTTTGGGTAAGTTTTTTGTTTGCCGCTTCTGCCTTGAACTCTTTTAAAGAGGGCCCTCTTTGCACTCTAATCTTTCCATAAAGTTGGTTTCTAATTTTTTTTTTTTTTTAAAGTTAACTACAAGCTAAAAAGAGCTAAAAAAATTGACGTGAAAACCTCGTTTATTAGTCTCTGTAAAAGAGTAAAATACATAAAGGATATAATAATTTTCAAAGGATCAAGTTACAACCAATAATAAATTTAAAAAATTTGAGATGAGAGAGAGATGAAAGAAATGTGCAAATACTCCCATTTGGATTCTAAACTACACATGCTAAACATTAAAACCCGAATCAGATTATTCGGATTGTGACATTGTGATAAAATTATAACCAATATGTAAATTTTTTGGCGGCCACCATACATAGAAGAATACCTCTTTCCGGAAGGGGAAATCTTCATCTGGCAATTTCTGCATGTTTGCCAAGCTACCAAGGGCTCCTTTCAGAAAGTAAGAAGAATATTTCCCTGGAGAATGACAAACGGAACAAGGAAACCTTCTCAGAATGAAAAATGAACAATCATATTAACATGTTCAAATGATAGGTGAAGAGGAAATTCAACTAGGTCAGGTCGTTTGAGAATACCTAATTTATCAAACATGACTGAAACAACTTGAAAAGCCAAGTCCAAAACATCAGTGTAATGATAATCAAGCAAACTTTCTATAATAGCACATAGTTTTTCTATGACTGTTGGCGCAGACCTCCTTGCCTCCATGTTTGCAGTCGTCATAATCTGATCCACACCCTGTCTGATCGAGTCTTCATCAATGCAAGCACATATCAGATTTTTCATAGCATCCTGTGCGGCACGGATTGCCTCCTCATGTTCAGATAGCATAATATCTGTCAATCCAATATGAAGAGAAGTACAATCCAATTGAATAATTTTCCATAAATAATGAAGATAATGAGCATATAACTTGGGGAGGAGAGACTTCTAGTGCAACAAAATTAACATCTGATTGGAAGGAAAAGTTCTCGAGCAAAAATTAGACCTTTGAGTGCACTGAATGCAACAGGGAGTTTATCCACACAAATCTGCCTATTAACAGAATAAACTTTCTGCATCCCAACATTGAGCAAACGAGCTGTGAAAGCTAGGCCATCTGCAGATGTTTCACTTGTCGAGAAAGATAATGCCATCGAGCATAACAGATCGAGTAGTACTTCAGCAGAAACATCAACAGTTGGGTGGAGACAGAGTGAGTTCAAACTATCTGTAATTCGCCTTGTAACGACGGGTTGGTGCAGTTCCAAAAGAGTTTTGTAGTATTTAAGTACGTTAGTAATATACTTCATTGACATGAGTGGTAGACAATCTCTCAAAGCCTCCAGAATAAATAGAACCTCCTGGGCTCCTTTAGGTCCTTCAGTAGCTTTCGTGTTTGATCCACCAGCAAGCAAAAGTGATTTTTCAAGAACGTTGGTGATCGCTTCGCTAGCAGATGGGAGGAGGGCTGTCCCCTGAATTTTTAACAAGACATCGCGAAGACAAGTGTGCGACTGCCTTCTAACCTGTTCAGCCACAATTACTAGTGAGCTGACGCTTAATGCAATCACAATTCATTAAATGATGCAAATTCCCACATTGCCGAAAACGCAAAGAGGTAAAAAAACATTAAGAGTTTGAGTACAAATTATTCACTGGTAGAAGAAATCACCTTAGAGCGCGAATCAATTACGAACCCGAGAATGAAACCGAACATGTTGGACACATCCGACCAGTTGACAGAATTTCTAACAATCAAGAAATGCGAAACACACTTCAGTCCGGAAGTAGCCGCGCCAGGGGTCAAGGACGGAATGCGAAGAACGCGAATAAGGAGGTCCGATAGAAACTCCTTCTTCTTATTCAAAATCGGAGGGGAAACTCGAGGGAGAAGCAGAGACAGAATGGTGAGAAGAGCATCGAGAAGGTGGGGCGGCGGGTCAGGCTCGGAGGAGATTCGGTCGAGAGACGAACAGGTGGCGCCGAAGTAGGCAAGTGGAGTGCAAGGAAGGGCCTGGTCTCTGAGCTCCTGGGCCATGGCTCCAATGACGGCGCAGAGGTGCTGGTGATCTTCGCTGGTGGAGTCGCAGAAGCGAGAGAGAATGGAGTTGCAGAAGTCATCGTTGGAGTCGTCGGAGGAGAATCCGAGGGAGGCCTCCATCTCAAGGCCTTCCATGCCGGTGGTGATGGTGGGTAGTTCCGAAGAGAAGAATAAACCCTAGCTACTACCAACCAATGCCAGGGTTTTACAGGAAATCGGATCAATAAACCGAGTCGAATTTATCATTCGGACCGGTTTTTCTATTTAATTCGATTTAGTAGTTTTGGAAAACAGCAAAATTAACTGAATCGAACCGCTGTCTCAAATAGCCCAGGAGCCCATTACCCGACTAATCCCCTAACTTATTGGGCCCAGTTTTTATTTTTTTCTCTTTGGGCTCAATTTATTTAAAAGAACTAGAACCTGAATATTGGGAGTATTTTTTAAGGGAAGAAATTTCTTTCGAAAGCCTTATTTATTATTATTATTATTTAAATATTTGTGAATGTCAAACTAGCTTATTATAGATGCAAAACATAGGATTGTCGGTAAAAAGAATACAACCGATGAAATTGATAGATGGATGTGATCAACCCTATTGCAATAAAGATGGTAATGGAATGATAGTCTAACTAGAAAAAAATAAGATGTTACACACCATAGAATCATGCCTATTGTAAATATCCATCTATCTGAGAATTTGGATGCATGGTCTTTCGACGTCTGTAATGTAAGGGATCGTATATCCAACTGAGATCAATGGCTAGTTTGGAAATGCAAAACAGAGAGATGATACGATCATGTACTATTGTTATTCTTTATATTCCAACCGTTCAATAAATTATACTATATCATACATTGATTATTATAGTACAATAATTTTTTCTTTACACTATTAAGAATTAAAATAAGTTGACGATTAAAGAAAAACATTACATCTATCGATCGATTACATGGAAAATGCTACAATGAAAAACTGAAAAAAACTAGGACAATAAAATTACATGAAAAATGTTACATCACATATGTGTTTTCTAACTAGCAGGTGGGCGTAGGACATCGATTAAATCAGTTTTGCCGGTTATGCCTTTCTTGCCTACAAATACGTGTCTAATTATAAAATATTGGTATAAAACCAATATAATTAATAAATCAGCAATTTCATTTAGCAAGTAACACTGCATCATCTTGTCATTCATATAAATGATATATAATATGCTTCCATGCTAAAATCACTCATTAGAGTGCTTTTAGTTAATTAATTTTGCAACTTTTTTTTTTGTCCATGAGCTTTTACTAATAGTCAAAATGAAATAAATGTCAAGTTATCAATTTGATAAATATTTATGAAAAATAACAAAAATCGAGAAATCATTAAAAAAATATTTAAATTAAGAAAAAAGCATTTTATCCTTTTCAATTGAGTTAAAATTCCACACAACAATGATATATATCTTCTGGATTGGTTTACGTTATAACGAAAATATCAATTCACCTCATTAACGTCGACTTCATAGACATATGAAAATGTTGATAGAAATATGGATCAGTCAACAAAAAATTAGGACCGTGATTTCTATTTTTATTTTTGTTTTTAATTTTCTGTTTAAAAAACCCATTTATTTTTTGTATTTAAACAATATAAAGTGAAAACATGTTTGATAATCATTTTTAGTTTTCTACAAAACTAGAGTGTCGAAGAGATATATTAGAAAGAGAAAAATCTATATAAAGTAGAGAATAATTCATCTTTTCAAAATTATCCACTAATAATTAATTTAAAAGATAATGGAATGTATAACAATCCAAGTATGTATATTGTTAGTCTTTCACTGGCCAAACTTAGATTAAACTACACATGCTAAACTTTATAGTGGATCCATGTACAAAAGATGAGCATTTTGGCTTTGGGAAGGAAGATATGGGTAAAGTCCATGTGACCATCATTGCATATCCTTGACTATATATTATGAGAAATGAACAACATATATTTCTTGTAATTAAATAGTGGCCATGTGTGGCCATCCAATTATATATATACTTTACAAGATGTTAATTATTATTTTCATGGACCCAATCCATGTGAGGCTATACAATCCAACCACTTATTCATAGGTTTTCCTTCGTAGAATGATCAATAGTGGCATGAGAAAACCTTCCATTTTTAGTCTCAAGTTTGAGGAAGAGAAAGAAGTGGAGGGTTTTAGGGATAACCAAGAGTAGGTGATGGGCGTGACAATAGAGAGTTACGAAGGTTTGGCTTACTCAGTAATTTTTCAAAAGAATAATTGACTTTATCGAAAGGTACCTATCTATTATTTATTATTGGATTTTTAGTGAAATTATCTTGATTTAGAAGAAAATAATTTATATAGAAGAGAAAGTAGCTTCTTATTAAGTTTAAGAACGACGTGCTATGTATCTTGATGATACAATATTTGATTAGGTATAGGTAGAAGGTAGATGGATTGATTTTCTTTATTGGGACCTACTCAGATGAAGCACTAATTCTCCAATTTAATAATGGAACCTAAAATCTTCTTCAAAAAAAAAAAAAGAAAAAGAAAAAGAAAGAAAAAATTTAAGAATAGAGGGGCGGTATACACATCCTCTAAAGAATCTCAATCGTATTTGTATCACATTGGCATAGAAGAGATTTTCTATTTTATTGTCAAACCCTATTGTTTCAAGATATTTAGGGTGCAATTAGTTGGTAATCTGAAAATGAGAACAAGATATTCAATGAAAAATAGAATTGTATTTCATGTTTTCAGATACGTGTTTAGTAGCCGATTTTGAAATTAAACATAAGTTAAAAAATGGTTCATAATAATATTTTTGTATGAATAACTACCAGCTAAATATTTAGTTCAATTTAAAATAATATTAACTACAATATCATATAATTTATAATACATTATATTTTACCTATTTTAAATTTAACAAAAATAAAATTCATCAAAATTTTTATCTAAAATATTTCATGAAAATAAATCTACCAAACAAAATACAACAGCTGTAAAATTTTCCATTCTAAGAGAGAAGGCCCATATGGAGTAGTTAATGGGTTGTTGCAACGTTTGGTATCTCAACTGCTACAAAATGTTGGTTTACTGCTGACTTTCACTACTCTGAACTGTTAACAATAGATTTTGGTTCCTATAATTTTTCTTTTTTTCAGAAAGATTTGATTCCCTATAATTATTTTAGTACACCCTATAATTAATCCTTATAATTTTTAAAATATTATTATACTCCCTATAGTTTAATTAAATTTCTCAAAATTTCTATAATATTACCACTAGTGTATAGTTTTCTTACCCGACACTTTTTTATATATGATAATAATTATATATTCTCTATATTTTAGTTATATAATTTTAGACATTTTAAACCTTTATCTAACTTCCTTAAAGCTGAGGATTTTAAATTTTTCTCTCTATTCTAGTTTGAACTATAAAATAATGATAATAAATCAATCAAAATATCTACGTTGTTACCAAATTTTAACAATTTTATCATTTGACAAAGTATTCATGATGAGAATCAATTGGGTTCATTTTAAGATGAGAGATTTTTAATATGTGCAATATGGTTCATCACTTATTTATTTACTTTTTTAGTACAACAAGTAGTGGTGGAAGATTTGAACTTATGACCTCTTGATCAGAGATATGTACCAATTACTAATGAGCTAAGCTCATGTTGATAATGGATCACTTATATTTCTATTATTATCTTCTATTTGTCACATCCAAATTAAATGGGTTAGGTAAGAAAACAGATATTTATATTTTAGGAGATTTAAGTAAATAAAAAACAATTTAATAAAACTTTAGGTATTTTTTTTTTCAAATTATTAGTACAATAAGTGGACGTGAGAGATTCAAATTCATTTTGATCCTTGTACTTTCGAAACGTTCATTCATGTTTTTTTATAACTTACCATTTGGTTCATTCATTTTTATTTTATCTCATTTATTTCAAAAATTTTTTTAACACGACACGTCAACTACTAAAAGCATGTTTGGAAGTCATTTTGATATGACTAGAATCACTTTTACTCATGTCAAAATCACTTCCATTTAAATAAAATGTTTGACAAGGATTCATCATTTAAGGGGCCATTGTTTTTTGGGAATGCAGATGTCCGACATCTGTAATTTCAGATATCCGGAATTTTAGATGTCCGGCATCTTCAGATGGTCACGTTTGTTTTGTAGGAAAATATAAAGATGTTCGGGAATATTTGGATAACCGCGTTGTATTGTAGGATTTATTCATGGGAATATTCTAAATTTATATAATGTTCCAAAAAACGCCGTTACGAATATTCATATAATTTATACATCAATCTAATATAATTTACATTTATATAATAAATTTTCCTAAAATTAATTTTAGATTTTAGATTTTTTATATTAATTGCGTATATGTATTAATTTTTGTATGTTATTAGGTAGAATTCATATTAATATTAGACTTTTTTTAAAAAATAATTAGGATTGAATATAAATTTCATTTTCAACTTTAATATTTTTAAAAAATACAATTATATAATTAATGTTATATGGGGTAAAATTCATTTATTATATTATCAAATTATATTATTTTAAGAAGAAAAATATCAAAGGCAAGCTGATCGTTAAAAAAATGTTAAAATTAAATGGAGATATTATATAATTTAATTGAAGTTTATTTTATATCTACATATAATACATGAATATACTCAATTGCTTATTAGTCCATTAGTATATTAATTTAGTTAAACTATAAAATTACAAATAAAACCAAAAAACTTTGATAAAAGAGAATATATGAAAAAATAACGAAAGGTAAAAAAGTCAATATTGGATGCCTTCGATATGGGAATCATGGAAATCCATATTTCAAAAAGGGCATCAAAATCGACTCAAATGCATTCCAAATGGGCATACTAGGATACTCGGGCATCTCGATATACCCGGGTATCTTAGATTACCACAAAATAAATGTGGGAATCCAGATGCTCGTCTCACGAGAATCTTGAATTCTCACAAAACAAACGACCATGGAGAGATCTTCCATGTGATTTTTGACAAAAAAATAAAAATAAAAATAGAAAATTAGTTTTTAAAATGATTATTACTTTAATTTTTTAAAATTTACATTTCTATTCCCCTCAAATTTTTATTTTTTTTTCTAAAATTTTTGTCACTCACAGTAACTTTATTTATCTTTAATTTTGTTTATTCTCTATATGTCTAAAATTTTTGTGTCTTGCCTTCTAAAATTTATTCCTCTAAGATTTTTGTCTCTCTTAACATTTATCTTCTCGTCAAATTTTCTCTTTAAACTATAAATATTAATCATTCAAAATCATTTTTAATGATATAAAAATCACTTGAAAAAATATGTAACAAAACGTTAAACTAATTATATAAAAATCACTTTCACAAAATCAATTATCATTAAATCTATTGTACTAAAATCATTTATTCTAAAATCTGACCCTAACTTTTTGAAACACAGGCATAAATTTGTATACTAAAATCATTTATTCTAAAATCCTAACTTTTTGAAACACAGGCATAAATTTGTATATAAGGATTTTTATTCTGTATAAATTTTGTGTTAAAATTTTAATTAGAATGACAACTTTTTCAAAGCACAAATACAAAAAGAGAGTATAATTGATCATGAACAATAGCACAAAAGTACAGCAACCAAAATATTATTTAGAACTTAATTTCTTTTCTCTTTTGAGTATTATAAAACTTTTAAAACTAAAAAAATGGGTAATTTATTATTTAACCAATCAATAAATAAGACTTATCGTTTGGCCATAGGGCTCTACTTAACCGGAATAAGTGCAACCCTATCCACACTCCCAAACACACTTTATTTTTACCAAGTTCCTCCAAACACCCCCACTCCCCGAAAAATAACCACCATTCTTTCAAGAACCAATATTTACCAAACGCGTATTGACTTTTGACAAAAATCCCACTTTCCCATTTTACCCCTCTCGTCTATAAATATCTACCTCAACACCCTCAGTTTCATTTATCGGAGGGGGTAAGAAAACGGAAAATCGACACACGAAGGCGATTTCTCGCGAGAATGTATCGGCCGGCCGTTGCTTCATCTTCTCCGGTGGCGGTGGCGATCGCGTTGGCGGTAATCCAACTGATCATAATACTTCCGGCCGCCGTCGTAGCTCGCACGAAACCGATTCCGGCCGAGCCATCAAAACTCGACGAATGGATCGAGAACAACATGAAAGAATATCACGAACGTAAGGCGAACGACACCGGAGTCAAAGCCCTAGACAAGCGGCTCGCCATGGCGGAGGACGCCGTTCGGCTTATCACGGTACGACCGGACGGCCGCGGAAATTTCACCACCATCACCGCCGCGATCGAGAGCATTCCGGCGGGAAACACGGCTCGAGTCATAGTGTGGATCGCCGGCGGAATTTACCGCGAGAAGATCACGATCGACGCGTCGAAGCCGTTCGTTACGCTGTACGGACAGAACGGGAAAATGCCGGTGATAACGTTCGACGGCACGGCGTCGGAATTTGGAACCGTGCAGAGCGCGACGGTGGCGGTGGAATCGGATTACTTCGTCGCCGTTAACATTGCGTTTGTGGTGTGTTAATTTCTTCTTCTTCCCTTTTCGATTCGAAATTTTGTTTTATTTCGTTTTTGTTAATTTGTGGGGTAACTTTTGCAAATAGTGATAATTAAGGGGGGCATCATGATGTGCATGAAAACCCATGCATGTCATCATGATCAAAATTCCATACTCATGCCATCATTCGTAGTTCATATGTACGAAAACCTGATTTTCACGTAGAAATTTTGACTTTTCTGGTACGATTGGTCATTTCTGTTAGGAGAAATATATATATAAAAAAAAGACCTTTTGAGATGACTTAAACTTGATTAGATAGAAAATATTTGTTTGTGTTTGATTTCCCCTTCTTCATCAGATGTTAGTTTTGGTGAATAATTAATTTTGCTCGTAAATTTTTTAAATTGTATTTAATAGGTCCATGATCTTTACTAGTTGAGCCTACTAGATACAGTACTGAAAAATTCGTGAATTAATTCGTAATTAACTTATAATTTTTATAAAATTACTTATGTATGAGTTTTTACTTATTCGTGTGCAATTACATCTGATTTTACCTATCATTAACTATTATTAAATCATGATAATAAGAAATACATTTTTTCAATAACAATCCAACCTGATCTATAAAAACAAGAGAGTAAGATGTGAGATTCAAACTTCTACCTTTAAATTGTTAATCATATATGGTGTGAGAAATTTAACATGATAGTTCGCGGGAGATATGCATCACATTAAAGCCCAATGAAAAGAAATAATTACATATGGAAAAATATTTAGGGTTCTAATCGGTGAGGATCTATGTAGTTGCCAAACATCGAAGGATGATTAAGACAAGATAGTTCTTACTCACCCGGATCCAATTATTTTCCTTAAATTTGAGTGGCTTTGCAAGGATATAATACTTTAGTGTATATTGTCTTCACTATCATTGAAAAAATGACAATTTATTATATTAAAAAAAAGTTTGTTTTTACATTTCTCTCTCTGTGGTGGCGAGGATAAAATAAATATTTTCCATAAGTCTGGTGAAACACTTTTGCAGCCATTTCTCAAAATAGGAAAAAGTAGATGTAGAAGAAGGTGGGTGTGGAAGAAGATTTTATTGGCACCCATCACATCATTTGATTTAAAAAAGAATGAAAATTCCTAAGAAATTAAAGTAGCTGTATAGGTGTATATCTTGTCTTCATAGCTTAGGTTAATTAGGTTTATTGGATGCAAAAATAATATTAGTGTAAATTTGGTGGGTGTAGAATTCAGCTGCAATGCCTGACGTAAGAGTGTCGGGAGGACAGGCAGTGGCAATGAGGATATCTGGGGACAAGGCAGCATTCCACCACTGCCATTTCATAGGATTTCAGGACACATTATGCGACGACAGAGGCAGACATTTCTTCAAGGATTGTTACATCGAAGGCACTGTTGACTTCATCTTCGGCAATGGCAAATCCCTCTACTTGGTACCAACTGTTCATCTGATCTTTCCAAGTTTGTTAAAATTTGACTTAGATTTTTAAAACGGATCTTCGTTTCATGTACTAGTACAGAAAACTAGAATAAACTCAGTGGCGGAAGGGATGGGAGTGATCACAGCTCAAGCGAGGGAAGATGCAACAGACGACAGCGGATTCACATTTGTATATTGCAACATCACAGGAACTGGAAACACGTATCTAGGAAGAGCATGGAAGGAGAGAACTCGTGTGGTTTTTGCCTACACATACATGGGAAATCTCATTAACACCGAAGGATGGTCCGACAAAATGCACCACGGAGAGCCTAGAAAGTAATTCCAAACATTTAGCTGTCAATTTTTTTAACGATGGTAACCGATTAACACCTGAGTTTTATCTTTAGTAATTTTTAAATGTCTATATTGTGTAGGAGTATGTACTATGGAGAGTACAAATGCATGGGGCCCGGGGCGACCCCAGCGGGACGAGTGAAGTATGCGAGAATACTCTCCGACGAAGAAGCGAGGGCATTTTTGAGTATGACTTATATTCATGGAAACAAATGGCTTCTCCCACCCCCACTTCTTTCTTTTTCCCGTTCTCATCCCAATACCTTCCATTGAAAATGTACAAAGGGCTATTGAGGGTAGCTTTTTTGTCCCATGTTTTAGTTTCATTCATTTGTAATTGTTGTACCAAAAACTCACACCTTCCTCTCATTATACCCCTCTCCTCTCTCTCTCTTGTATGTGTTTGTGTTCTCTTTCATAACGTTATTTTCCAATGTTAATTAGTTTGCCAAAGAGCATTTGTACTTGCTATTTTTTGTGGCACGTAATTTTGTGTATGCCAAATTTTGAACCTTTCATTGGAAACACACGAATCGTCTTTATCTAATGTCTTTGTGTTAAAAAATTAAGGGCATATTTGACAACCTTTTCATTTCAAGTATTTGGTAACAAATTCGTGTTTCAAGATTTTCATTTTTTAAACAACAAAATCAAAATTTTTTTTAAATTTTTTATCATTTTTAATTTTTTCTAAAACATAGGTAAAAGTAATATCTTATTCTTCACTTATAAGATGCTTACTAAATATCAAAAAATAAATATATATACGATAAAATTTTTAAAAATTAATTTTTATATTTAAATTTACCTTTTTAATTCAAAATTTTAGAGAAGGGAAAAACAAGAAATTATTAAAAAAAATGTTTCTATTTCTTTTTTTCAATTAAAAAAGAATAATAAACAATTACGAGCTAAGTTCACGTTGGCTAAAAGATAGAAGCGTTATTTAATCAAATTTATAGCATTCCATAAACGTTATTTATGTCAATAATCAATTTATATTACTTGCAATTTGCAAGTCTTTTTACTCCTGTGAGATCAACAAATTACAATGTAAGAGTACTCACGAAACAATCTTATAATCCTAGAAAAAAGTACAGCGTCCCTTAACCACTATAAGATATCAGATCATCCTAGCGGTAGGGCATCACTTTTATTTTTTACCGTATGATAAATTTCATAACAAATATAGAGTGTGTGTAGTGTGTGTGATGTAGAGTATAGGTCACAATAAATAATTAAGTTATAAATATAGAGATTATGATAAATAATTTTATATATGGATGGGTTAATTTTTGTTGTTGTAGTCTTGGGTGCCATAAGGGGAGAAAGCTTCAGAGAACCAATTGTTCTTCCTCCAAGGGCTCCACCCCATTTCCTCACAGATTTGATCGCTGTGGTTGATGCTGTAAGTGGAAATGCAGTGCCTTTTGTAGAACCTCGTGCTTCTCTTCATCACCTCCATCTCTTCGTTTATTTGCTCCACCATTTTCTGCCTCTCCGGCAGCTTGAACTTCTCCTCGGCCAGCCGCGCCACCCATATGCTCCGCAGCTCCGCCGTGTGCAGGTTCGCCACGCTCTCTAGGTACCCCACGAATGCCATGTTTGGAATCATTGGGTTGATCGTGCCCCTACCCATGTTCCAAAACAACACGCACATTCAATCTCAAGAAAGGTAATTGGTGTTTTATCTTAGTAAATTTTCAAGCTTTGTAAAATATTTTTCCATTTTTAATAACATTCTTCTTTCTTGTTTCTATTTCATCATTTTTAATAAAGAGAAGTGAATTGCATAACCTCAACCTAACATACTCGAAATGGAAATAAGAAATAATAAATTTTTTCTGGTTGTTTCCAAAATTTAAAATATTCATACATGAATTAAATTTACCCAATCCAACAATCAGTTTAAACTTTTGGATTGAGTATGGTTTATTCACACTTATATCAGAACGGATGGTCCTGTATTCAAACCCATAAAATTTCATTCCAAATTGAATAAACTATATATAGTACTAGCTCTAGTTAAATTAAAACTTGGATATAATTACATAATTAGTAAAAAAAAAAAAGAGGATAATTTTGAGTTTTCACTAATATAGGACCGCTTTTGTAATTATTTTATTTTTTAAAAATTATGCTTAATTTCTCTAATTTTTTTGGGTAGGTTTATACCTTCCTTAAAAATATATTTAAATTTTAAGTAAATAAAAAAAACAAAATTAACGAAAAATTAAGGAAAAATAATTATTTTTTATATTCACCTGTACAAGGGCATCATGCCGGAGGGATAGTGAAGGAAACTTCGGAAGGGCTGAGGAAAAATGTCAGTGAGCTTTTTCTTGCCGTCGAAGCCGGTGGCGAAAACGACGACGTCGAACTCCGATCTGGAGCTGTCGTCGAACTGGATCCCTCCGCCCCAAAAGCACCACTTGGACGCTCTTTTTATGACTATTTTGCCCTCGTCGGCTTCCCGGAAAAAGTTCTCCGGCATGATGGCCATCTGGCACGACGCGTAGTCCTCCACGAACGGGTGCTCCGGCTTCAACCCGTATTTTTCCAGCGGCAATTTCCACGTCAGATACGATTCTATGAACTTCGAAACCACGTGTCTCTGCCCACACCAAACAACATTAATCACTTCATTTCTATATAATAATCTAATGTCGCATAATTTTCATGTTATTTATTTATTTTAAAAAATGAGTTCAAAACTAAAATAGAACCAATCCAAAAATTCATGGATTATCAAATAAATTTAAACCAAAAAAATTATATATTTATGGTCTTTTTTTAAATTTTGATAAGTTTGAAAGTAGTTCTCCGTGTAAACACTAATTCTCCAATGGTTAGAGGTTCGAATCTTCCCCACGAGAAAAGAAAAATGAATATTAAAATGTGAGATAAATTAAGGAGTTGAGTTAAATTAATTACCATGGGAGATAAGAAGAGACAAAGAAGGGTCTTGAGGAAGCTCTGGTTGGGCCTTTCATGGAGGAACTGAGAAGATCTTGTGGAGAAGAACAAGAAGAATGGCAATCCCCACACCCAATAATGTGGCACTGTCCAGTGTAATCCTCTCACCACCATTGTACATGCCTCCCCTTCTCCACCTTCAATTTTATAATTAATTTTTAATTTTCAGATACACGTGTGTGCTAAAGTTCAGGCCACTATACAATTATCATTATTAGTAATAATTCATTTTCCTTTTAATTATTTCATCATGATCTTGTCAAATAAAGTCAAATTCTATGCTTTCTCTGGAGTTGACCTTTCTAATTTTAGTCAATTCATTTAAAATATTTTAAAAAATAGCATAGCATAATAATGAATTGAATTAATTTACCTTGATTTGCCTCGGCACATTCAAGAGCCAAATCAATGGCTGATTTCTTGTAGCCGATGACTGCAACTCTCTTGCCCTTGAGAAGCTCAGTTGCCTCTTCCTTCCCAAGTTTACAGTAATCCAGAGAATGCATCACCTTGCCGGTGAATATCTCCGGCCCTTTACCACTCGGGAACTCCGGCACCTTCGGGATGTCGCCGTACTTTCCGATGCACATCACCACCATCTCCACCTCATATAACTACATCACGTTCAAAACCAATGACATCCGTTAAATATACCTAAATGATTCCTAATTTTTTAAGTAATTTTCGAGGTAAAAGATTAAAAAGTTCAACCTAATCATTCAGTAACAAATATGATGAAAGAGAAGATTTCTTTTTTTTTTTACAGCCATGTAACTTTTTTTATATATATACACACACGTCACTTTAGTCTGTTCGATAATATTTTGGTTTTGATTTTTCTACTTTTAAAAATTAAAATTAGAAATATTACTTTCACACGTTTGTTTAATTATTTTTTATTTTGTTACATAATTTTTATAAAAGTTCTTCAAAATACAAACTAAACATAATTGTGAAAAAAATAGTTTTAAAAATTTTGATTTATATTCTTTAAATTTAGCTAAAAATTCAAATATATTTTCAATTAAGGTAAAAAACTTATTAATGAAGTCATAATTTTCAAAAACAAAATAATTAATGATAACAAAATAATTATTAACTCACACTAGAATTATTTATTGTCAATTGGAAAATATTTGGCTCCTTTACTTTGAAAAATATTGTCTTTTGCCATCCTTAAATGTTTGAGGTGGCGAGGACAAGATTTAGTCCTCACTATCAAGGAACCAAATATTTTCCTGATCAAGATTAGCGAAATTTGACATGTATTGACTAGATCCATTTTTTTGCCATAGGAAGATATTTGATTCCTTAACAGTAAACAGCAATTTGTTATCGGCACTTGTAGTAACCAAAGTATTTTTTTTTACCATATATGGAGGGATCCAAATATTTTAATAAAATAGATAATTTAAAAGAGAATTATGTAAAAAAAAATTGGATTAATTGGTTTCGTATATTTAATTTAGGCTTAAAATTTTCGTAATCAACTTTTTGAATTTGGAGCTAAATGTTTCAAAGCCCTAACGAAAATGGGTGAGAGATAAAAGAAAACTGAGTTATAATATGCAACCTGAATAGTATCAGAACGAGTGTCGAGGACAGAGATCTCCCAGACCGGCCGGCCGGGGAGCAGCGGACCGTACTCGCCGGAGATTCCGTCGCCGGCATCATCGCCGATGAATCGGACGGCGACGACCTTAGAGTTGAAGCGGACGAATCGGAGGAGATCGAAGTGGCGAGCGTAGGAATCCAAGTAGGCGA